TACTTTTTAGCACGTAGCTATTTATTATTAGCATTGTTCGTCCGACGTCTGATTTCTTTTTAATTATAGGAAATGCGTTTTTCTAAGGTACATAAACTTTTGGGATTGACTGTATAGCCAATACATCCTTAAAGGACTATACCAGTGTTACACTTGACTGACATAAGTCGCTCGTATTTCATTATTTTTGTACGAAAAAATTATTTTACACAGTTAGGCAAATACACCCCTAAAGTTTAAAAACATTCGATGGAATACTTTTCTTCAAAAAAATTCTCAAAAATCACCTAAATCTTGAACGGTATAGCCCCTTAACATGCGAGATAATAGTAACTGTTTTATGATAAAGTGTATTATCACATGTTAATTGAATTAAATATCATATAGCGTTATCTATTTTTCATCAAAACGATCGTGTACGGAATGTACGAATACCTTCGTGACGGACTTTATATGAATCGATAGATGCATTTCGCGATGATCCTTCTATTATAAGCACTTTAATTGCGTCGAACGATTTGATTTCTAAGCACGTGTAATTTCGTGTGGACCTTGGAGCGTTTCGATTCCGAATAAGATCCGCGAGATTATTACGGACAAGTGTTTCTAATTCAGGTAGCTCGTTAAGGGTTCTTATTGATTGACGACGCACACGGGTCGGAATGCAGCCAGACAGAGAAAGAACGATACAACGCGTGCATCCTGTTGCATACGTAGCGTTAGCAGCTTCGCTCTATCTGTGCGTTAAATAAGCGCATCCAGCGAGTAAAATCCGTGCGATCTTTTAATTCGCGTCAATAGACTCGTATTAAAAAAGCTGGGAAGCGTAACGAATAGAAGCAAACTTTCTTCCCCTTTGCTGTATCCTAGAATCAGCGTTCGTTCTCGTAACAGTTTTCTTTTTTTTTTTTTTTTACCAAAAAGCGACGTTTGTATAAAATGCAGCAAATGAAACGTAGCAGGTTTGAAAAACAGAGAATTCGCGCCCACGGTCGAGACGTGGGCGTGGCGAAGTATATTATATAAAAGTAGAAGAAAGAACGGCGGTTAAATAAAATAGTTAAAAGTAACAAGAAGCTGGCCCGTCGCATGCGAATCACCGGTACGTTTCTCGTTTCCGTTTTGCGTGCGTGTGCGGCGAGCTAGCTAGTGCGTAAAGATTTCGTGTCTCTCTACGTCTTACCAGAGAACAGAGTTCGTTCGTTAACGAGCAACGAAATCGGCCGCTGCCATCTTGCTATCTCGTAACACACTCGTGCAGCGCTTTATTTTTATTCAATACACATTAGTCCACATATACATATATAAATGTATATAGAGTTCACACCTCACGTGACAATAACAGCATTTGTGTTCGAATCACATCGAATGCCACACGTATGTGTGTACGTGGTTCTCTCAAAAATTTCTATCCAGGATGAGTGTGTGAGGGAGGGAAATGATACATCACTTTGTCAGTTTGTAGTAACTTTGAGATTGTTCAAGATCGTAGTACCATTGTCGGAAAAAAGAAACAATACTCTAACTGTGATCAAACAAGAGTAAGAAAAGAGTCGGGTTGTTCGTGTCAGAGAAATGCGAAAGCTTGCGCTTCCCGTTTCCTTAACATTAGAAAGACTGAAACTTAGTATATACCTATATTGCCCAAAAGCAGTAAAAATGACTGCATTGTGAAAGAATAATGTGTAAAGAAATTTGTCTAAAATTAATTTTTAATATTTTTTATATTATTTACAGTCATATAACAAGTTATTAGTAAATGTTAACAATAAAAAAAAAAATTTACTTCACTTGGGAAAAAATAATTTATGCATTATTATTTATACATTTGCCCAAAAGCAGTCAGAATGACTTCCTTGGGCAATCTAGTGTTAAACGCGGAGGACGAAGGAAACGGGTGAACGCAATTCGGGGTTTGGGAACCAAGTGCTAATTATATCAATAACAACGACTACGACACAGTAGCGACATAAGGTACGACTCGAAGCACCACCACCATCTTCTTCTTCGGTGTCGCCCGCTCAGAGGCGACTTAGGAGGCGAAATGAAAAGGACGACGTAAAGATGGACTTTGTGGGGAATAGAATGCAAACAAATAATCACGAAGCTATCACAATTCTAACTTATTTGTGCTGGTCGTTACGCGGTTAAAATGATGTAAATAAAAAAATCTAACTTTCATTTACATTTCGATGTCACAGAAGAATTTCCGTCAACGAGATTTTTTTACTTACATCGTTTTTCTTTTCGTAATAACTAGCACGCTCGAAGCGTTAGACGCGTTTTCGACTACTCCGTCAAATTTCACAAATCGGTATATAATGAAAGTAGAAGAACGATTAATCAAGAAGAAATAGATCGGATCACGGGTAGTGAATGAATGAAAGAAAGACAGAGAGAGAGAGATACAGAGAGATAGATAGAAGACAGAAAACGAAAGATTTAGAAAGAGATCGTTGATCGTCTACCGAGGCCGTCGGACGATCCCTCAGCAACGTCGCTAAGGGTACGTCGATGCTTGTTCCCGCCTTTGGTCGCCTGCAGGTGACACGATATAAGCAAGATGGCGGCGGCACGTGCCGCACCTGCTCTTGACGCCGGTACCAAAGGACCGCGGCTACCACCGCTGCTTGGCCTCCTGGAGAACGCGTAGGTCAACGGCCCTCCCGTGCTGCTCCTCTGGCTGGAACGCGACGATGGACGGCCACCGTGAAGCGTCAGCGGGATACCTGGTATCGAACGATATCGATCTTCAAGTAGAAACGGAAACTCACTGTTTACTCATTTGCATCGTCCGAAATATTAATGCAGTATTTGACAGAGTGGTCGATGCAATAATTGAGACCATGTTTCACAGAATTATTGATACAATAATTCATATACTATTTTTCCTATAAGGTTTGTTATAACAGAACAGGAATTAGCATCTAGTATGAACAACTATTTACTGATTTCGTTAAAAGATAAAATTGAAGGCTGCATTAATTCAGTAAACTCTGTTAAGAAAATTATATACATATTTTAATGAAATATACGAACGTTCTATAAGAATTGGCTTATTGACTCGCTGACGATGCAAATGGGTTCGGAAACGGGGCCGGTCTATATTTAACGCGGATTTCGGTGGACAGCAGTGATTTGATTTTCCTCAAGGACCTTGGCACACGGCGTTCTTCACCGATACTTAGTCGGTTATTGATTTTGCAACGGGTGCTGGGTAGCTTCTTAATGCGATATAGGCGCAATTTCCGAGGCACGTCCGCGATGATTGCAGGTGTGCGTTATCGCGTCGATTACCGGAGATCGTAATCAGAGTGAAGTATGCTTACCCGTGTCGCTGGAGAACAGCATCGGCGGCGCGTGATTCGCGTTGGCGTAGTGCCGCGGCCTTGTGTATCTCGCACGACTGAACAGTTTCAGTACGAAACAGATCATAGCCGTGAATATCGCTATTCCGGATGCTATGCACAGCAGCGTAGGAATGTTTGTCGTTATCAGCACCAGATCTGCCAACAGATTCAACAATTCAATCTTTTGCTTGGGGAGATCTTCACTTATCGTCTGAGAGACGAAAGGTATTTAATTTAACATCGGATGAGATCATTTAAAAGAAGAATTGTTTTACGTATGTTATTGCATGTGGAAATCTTGTCGAAATTTTTTGCAAGGAACGCAGGTTTTATGAAAGATTAGATCGTTAGATCGTTTCTATCGTGTTTCGTAAGATAGATATTAGTTCGGACAGGAAGTTGGCAAGGTGTACCTTCGGCGCAGAACACCTTCTTGTTAGGCCTGGACAGGGACACCCTGTGGTAACCCTGCTCGCAGTCGCAGACGGCATTGTGCTGAACCTGAGTGCAGGTCGCGTGCTGATCCGTGAAAGTGCAAGTCGCCCGATAGAAACATTGCTCGCCGATTTTTTTAGCTGAAAAATTGAATTCTCTGTCGTCTCGATCCTGTGTCACGTGGAGAATCCGAAAACGCGGACTTTTCATTTATTAATTCTTAGTCAGAAATAAATTGATTAGACGAGTCCAGTTGGTAAAGTGTCGGATCAGAGCAGAAGCGAATATAATCAATTGTTTCACGATTGAAGGATGAATAGAATTGCTCGGATCAACTTTGAAATGGATAAAACGTGTTCTTTCGATATTGGACAGAATAATAACTGTTGGATCATCGACATTCGTTTTCCTGTCCGCGTTATCGGAATGACCTAGTTGGGGCTAGTCGAGCCGAGTGGAGAACATGTTCGCGCGTACGTACGTTTGGCACATCCTTTACTAGGCCCAAGACGGACTGGATAGAATTTTTCGCACTCACAGAAGCCGGTGATCTCGTCGCAGAACACGTGCTGTAGATCCGGATTGCATGAGACATCGCACGGCGAGCCAAGGTACTGTCCCTTCGCTGAAAACAGCCGAAAATCGATATCCTGCAAGATTATCTACGACGCTTCTCCATAGTGTGCTACATGAAATATGTAGGCTATTTCCTTTAAATAGCGTGCCGCATTGTTCCATCGAGCTGTACTATCGGGGCCACTTTTCATGGCCCCAGCTATCTTCAGAATATCAATAACAATCGATCATCCTCATTCGGAATTCAATTTCCGTCGAAGATGCGTCTTACGAGAATTACATCGGATTCAGTCAATCTGGTTATAGACTTTCAAGTATTTAGAGAAGCTACTTGGATAAAAATGTTATTTCTGTCGTTGTCACAGTTGCCTCGCTCTTTCAATCCATAGTTCCCTTTCAACCATTATTCTCCCGCTTCGATACAACTCTTTGTCCCCTTTTGACGGGCACCTACTGTCATGGGTGTCTGTTTGTCCAACCGTGAATGCACACATTCTGAACGTTTAATGAACTAAAGAAGCATTGTCGTTCAGGCCATTTTCCAGAGTCGAAAGACATTATCTGGATGACGTTCTTCAACGACGTTGAATCGGTTTCGTTCGAGAACAGGAATAATAATCGTAATTCGCTATGTTTGCAGGCGTCGCGCCAGATATCGATCCACCCTTAATTATCGCACTGCATCCGTTGTTAAACGTATCGCGGTTTAAGGTACCGACGATTAAACTTCGCTGGCAAACGTTCAGAATCGTGCACGATAACCGCGACACCGTTCTCGCGTGTATACCTTAATTAACTCGAGCTGTAAAGAGCGTCTTGCGCACGACATTTCTGAAAATACAGTTTCGGACATTAAGGGAAGCGGTGTCTCCCGGTCGATGGAATGAATGGGGGGCGCCCCAGCGAATAACGAAGAACTACGTTTCCGTCTAAATTCCGGAAGTTCACGAGCCGGTGCTCTTTTTTTTTTTTTGAATGGGTGAAGACGGGGATGAATGACGCACGATATCTCAACCCTTTCCACGTTCTCGTTTCTCGTTCTGTGGGGCGGCGAGGGTGGAACCAAGAGATCTCTTTGAAATTCTTACGCAGCTGCAGGCGGTGTGCAAACTCCCACATGCGGGCGAGAGTCTGCTTGCAGCATCCATTAAAATCAATACCGGCAGCGTGGTTGGCGCGAAAATCAAGAACGACCGGAGCTTCTCTTCTTCCGACTCGCGCACGCGTAAACCAAGTTCAATATTTGTCTGTTTGAAATTCAAATACATTCCGATGAAATACGGTGAAATCCTGATGCAGGAAAATGAGATATTCAAATTCTGGGTACAAAAAAATTTATGTACGATGTACGATGCGTTTATTGAAAAAAGTCGAAAGCTAAGTCGAGGAAAATCCTCAACCATCCACCCTTTGCTGGCTCGTAACATATACCCGCGCCTCTCGTCGGATTTAATGAGCTGGACGAGGGCTACTTATCGTGTGACGAAGGGAGTACGTCTAGATGACGATAACAATGACAGTAACAAGTGTTTGCTCTCTGGGTGTATATTCTGGAGCCGAGTGTTTGCACACGCTCGTATCGAGCAGGCGCTAAGAAGGCGAGGCAAGAATCTCGACACGCGTTTCTTCGATCGTCCACCAGAAAATATGATAACGATCCCGCTACGCCTACCTGTTCAGATTTGGATGAATCGGTGCAAGGATGCAAGACTGGCTTAGAAGTATACAAAATGTTTCACAAACGATTAATCGATTTCTGAAACGATGCTCTCTTCGAAGATCAACGATTAGTATACATCGGTGCCACGTGAAGATGATACATCACTGAACGGTTTCATCTTAAACATGAACCGTTGCACACCTTTTTCCACATTTTACACCTTTCTGTTATACGATCGTTGAACGTTTTCGAGCGTAATGAATCACCGTTCGAACGTCGAGCGAGGGGAGTCGACAACCCTCGCCCAGCAGCACCGAATTTAGGGCAACGGTTGTTACGTCCCGACACTCACCCGCAGTGACGTTCTCCTCTTCGTAATCCTCCTCGTCGTCATAGACGTCGTCGTCGAGCTCGTCGTTGATGTCGTCGTCGTCGTAGCTGGACCCGCGCACGTCATCACCTGCCGGTAGCGAGCGGGTCAGGCGAGCCCGCGGCTCCTCGGGCCGACTTCGGGCGGTGCCGCAGCTGATGCTGGTGGCCAGGAAGACGACGAGGCAGCAGGTCAGCAGTAGCAAGTAACGGCAGCAGGTCAATCCCAGGGCGGAGGGAAGTGCGCTGCTCATCGCCCCCGCGGCGCGAGTCAACCCCCGAAACCGACCACCAGCGGCGCATCGACATCCTTCACCGTCCCTCCTACCCCCCTCCCGCCCTCCTCCTGCACGCCCTCTCGCCCTAGACGACGACGGCTCCGACACAGGCCTTATATCGTGTACGATCTCTCCGTGAAAAAACTGTCACGCTCGTTGCACGGGAACTCTCCTCGGTTACCTGCGACGCGTCGCGCCGCGACGTCTCTCATACGAGACGAGCCAACGGTGAGACGATCGGGACTGATGGAGACCGCGTTCTCGGCACCGTGCTCCCCCGTTCACTGACGCCTTCCTTCCGTTAGCCGGTCGACCACCGCGACTGCAGCTGCGCGATGCACCACCCTACCTGTTTCACCCAACCCCTTCCGCTTCTCATCCCTTGGCGTCGATCGAGATCAGGGCTGCTCCAACCTCCCGGAGGTGAAGGCTTATTGGTTTGTTACCTTTCCACCTTGAACCGATTCGGGTTACGTAGACAACGCACGAGTCTCGATGGTTTTCGTATCGCGTCTTGTGAGTGGGATCCTCCTCGTCGTATAGTTACCACTTCCCAGAATGGATCTACGAGAATCGATCGCTGTCTTTTATTAATAGTGAAAGCGTACACGCTTGGCGTATAGAGAATTTTTATTCGAAATCTCTGGGTTCGATATCGTGCCTCGTTAGTGGATCTCCCTTTTCAGTGTGATTACCACTTGCAGACGGATCTCGAAGACTCTTGATATTTCTTGTTAACAGTGAAAGCATATACATATAGTCGTCTGATAGAAATATTTTATTCAAATACTGTGCGTTATGCAAAGATTGTTTAATACAAATAATCAGTGGAAATACTAACTGTTGATATTGCTATGTCAAATGGTAGGGGTGCGAATCGCATTTGATGTAGTCATCGGGCTTCGTTTGTCACACGTTGTTTACAGGGCACGGTTCGTTCCTTCTTTATACATATAAAACGCATCGGTAAATTACAAATTTAACCCCTTGCACTATTCGTAACCTCGGGAAAAGTCAGGCCAAACGCAGCTGCCTCGATTGTCACGGTGAGAGGCGAGCGGTGGAGCGCGCTTGCCGAAACTTGAGACCTATCAATTTCAAAACTTTAAAAAAATACTTTGATTATTACATAAGATGAAAGCAATCCCATTCGAGATGTTCATACTTGGTCCAAAACTAAGACCATGAGTCAGACTCCTGATATTCATGTTCGGCCTGAAATGTCGATTACGAGTCAGGCTGATATTCATGTTTGGTCTGGAACTGAACAACGAGCCCGACTCGTGACATCCATGTTTGGTCTAAAATTTTCATCACGAGTCAGACTCGTCAAAATAGTGCAAGTGGTTAATGATGGACGTGAAGTGTTTTTTTTTTTGTTTTAAGAGGAAGACTTTTCTCTTCTAGTGATTGATTTTGCTAGCTTCCAGCTCCGTACAAATCCATTGTAGGCGACGTGATATGATCTTCTTCCTCGAGCAGAGACTCGGTGGCGATGGACTCTTGAACTGCGCTTCGCACTAAATAATAAAAATTCAAACGTACGTTGCTAAATGAACTAGAAAAGAAAGATTGGCAAACTGCATGCATTGCTTATCTAAAGCCTCTCTAATCAATCGCGGAAGTCAGGCGCCACGTTTATCTCTCGAGGTTCCGGTCTCTTTCATAAATATATGCAACAGATACCTGCGCCTATTCGTCTCCTCTGGTGTCTTCGTATCAGCAAGTATATCACCGCGCTCGCGATTGCCATTAACAAAATTGTCACCGCTGCCAAGGTGCCAGCTAGCCTGGATACCGCGTCTGTACTATTGTACATCGCATAGCACACAGATACTTGAAACCAAAAATGAAAATAAAACTGCTGATTTTCATGCAAAATCACGAGAGACACATGGAACAAAGACTACGAATTGATTTGTACAGTACTAAAAAACATGTACCATTCCCATCTGACTGGAATCCATTATGACATTGGCACACGTCCGGCGCCACGCAATCTCCATTCTCGCAGTTCTCGCAGTGCGGCACGCAGGATACGTTTAACAGAACGAAACCTTTTTTACATTGACACACGTTCGGCGCGATGCAAGTACCATTGTCACAAGACGAACAAATGGGCTCGCATACACCTTGCTTGGTATGCACATAATCATTGTTGCAAAGGCAAATGTTGGGACGAATGCATCTCCCATTTATGCAAGCTGGATCGCAGATGCTCTCACAGTGCCAAGTGGCGTTGTCACCCATCTATTTTCAAAATATTAAGTGATACATTTTGACCAGTGCCGAGCGAAGTAAATATTTCGAGATTAATACTTTAGATTTTATATGTAAAAATTTCTCTCATCTATTTCTATTCTGCTTCCGATTCTCTGTACATTTTAATAAATTAGGAACAGTCTTTAACTGAATTCGTCTATAAATGCAGGATAATCGTAAGAAAATTGACTCACATCGAATTTATCACAAACGCCAGGCGCCACGCATAGAGTCCCAGCAGTTTCGCAGGGAAGCTTGCAAGGCGAGCACATTTTCGTCTCGCTCTCGCGCGTTCCATTATAACAATTATGCATAGTGTAACCCTCGTTACATCTGCAGACTCCCGGTGCGATACATTCCCCGTTCTCGCAACTACTCCCACAATCCGGTAAGCACACGTGTATCATGGTATCATCACCACTGACCCTGTAACCTTCGTAGCACGTACAATTGTTCGGCGCCGTGCAGGTACCATTTACACAAGCCCTCTCGCAGACCGGTTCACAAATGTACCTAGCATCGCCGATCAATTCTCTTAAACCGTAACCTTCGTCGCAACTGCAAACTTCAGGTGCGATGCAAGTGCCCTTCTTGCACGGCTGACTGCAAACCGGCTTGCATTCATTGTGGTTCAATTGATAGCCAAGATCGCAGACGCAAGTGTTAGGGGCGATGCAATTGCCGTTCAAGCATCCCTTCTCGCACTGCGGTTTGCAACCAAACTCGCCTGCGTGTTCAAATCCGTCGTTACAAGTACAGACTTGAGGAGCCGTGCAAGTACTGTTTTTGCAGTCATTACAAATCGGTGTGCACACTGGCGTGCTGCTATTATTGGATGCTGATTCGTCTAAATAGCCCTCCTTGCACTGGCACTGATTTGGAGCCGTGCATCGTGCGTTGTACTGTTCGCAGTTGATGTTACAAATCGGTTGGCAGTGCAGATCGTCGAGCAACGAGTAACCGCGGTCGCACTTACACTGGTTCGGAGCAACGCAGGTACCGTTCGGGCAATCACCGTCGCACAAGGGGTCGCAGACGTACTCTTGCCTGCCTGGTTCCAGCGAGGGCCTGAATCCAGGTTTGCACTCGCACGTGTCTGGTTTGGTGCAAATCGCGTTCACGCAGGATGTACTGCACCTTGGTTTACATACTCTTCCTCCTACTTGTTGGTAACCAGTGCAACAGTCCATCTCGTCGACCCATATGGTCTTGTACTGTGATCGAAAAGTTTTATTGGACAATATAGCAACCGGGGCAATTACCTCTTACCTCTATTTTGTAATTCATTCGTTCTTTGATCTGATAGAAAATTCCCCATTTGCGGATCTTGTATGTCTCGAAATAGGGCACGTATACCATTTGTTTTCGACTGGAACGAGAAAGACTTAGACGATCAGATGAGAAAAGCTAATATTCGTATTATCCTTATTTATTTATATACAATTTTCTATATGAACAGTTTCAAACGATATTATTCGATGGTATCTGATACCACATCATACTATCTGAATTACCTGTAGTGCACGAGGCACTTGTTTCGAGTATCTTCGGACGAAGATTGCGACGTTCCTTCGACGAGAAGAATCGCATTCACGAAAACGAAAATACGGAGGTAATTCATATTCGATATGCACTCTCAGGACGAGTTGAACTTCGACTAACAGACGACCGTCGACGTTTATCTGTCTGTCTGTATTTAGACATCGCGTTATCGTTACAAACCGGATATATTGCGGGGGTTTCATGGAAATTAGAAAGGAGATTGGTGCGTCGATCGGTCCGGAAATGAAAAGATAGCTACTCTGATCAGAATTTTTTTATTGATATTATGTAGATAACGATTTAACAAAACTTTGAACGGAACTTGTTAGATTATAGGGTATTGTCCTCTTCAGATAAAAGAGCGGCTTGTCCTTGCGTCGACGTCGGAGGCGCATTGCCTGTACATAAATTTTACAAAAAATAGTTGAATACTTAAGAATTAAGAATTTTTTAATATATATAAGATTATATTTTACCTAAGGTATAGTTTTTAGATCTTTTCTTTCGTGCTAGTAAATAAGTTACACTCACGATACAGGCCACAATTATTAGACAAACAATTATTAAAAGACCAACGACTCCTTCTACTGTTACGTAACTCGCTTCTTTCATGTGAATTGCGTTTACACTATTACAGCCGGAATCTAAAATCGAGAGCCGAGTCAAGAAATATGTTAAACGTACCTTTTCGTGCATCGAGTGGTACTTACCTGCTTCAATCAGACACGCGATCGTATCATTCTCTACTTTATTATAGTTTCTAAAGCATGTTCCATTGGAGATCGCATCGACACAATTCTGATGGCACGACGAGCTATTCGCCAATATTTTACTAATCTTATCATAATCGATGTCTGATCTATAAAGGGGCAACAAGTATTTTTATAATTGACCAAATTTCTGATTATTTATCGATACTTACAAGTTCAGTTTCTCGTTATTCACTGACAGGATACAGAATTGAGATTCCTCGCAACTCGAGCCCTTCCATCCGTAATCACAAACGCAGGTTCTGTTCAAAATATCGCATGATCCGTGATTATTGCAGTCATCTTCGCACGCTTTGACGCACTCGTCGTTCTCTTTTACGAAACTGAAATCGCATTCGCAGTCTCCAGGCGCCACACACGTTCCATTACTGCAATTTTCGCAATAGGGTTCGCAGAAACTTTGATTCCCTCGTTCAGCGGTAACGAAACCATCGTTGCATTTGCAGGATCCAGGTTCAACGCAGGTTCCATTGTCGCATGACTCGCAAAAGGGTTGACAGATCTCGTCAACTTTCTCATATCCTTCGTGACACGTACAATGATTAGGTGCACTGCAAAATCCGTGCTTGCATTCTTGTTCACAGACAGGCTCGCAAACACTTGTATCATTTCCCACTGGACTATAATTTTGTCGGCACTCGCATTCATTCGGTTTGACACAGTGTCCATTGATACAGGCTTGTTCGCAAACTGGTTCGCAAATGTTCGATACATTTTTAGAATTGTATCCCACGTTACAAGTGCATTTGTCCGGGTTGCTGCAGTATCCGTTCACGCAAGCTCTGTGGCAGACAGGCTGACAAATATTTGAATCATTCTTCCGATAGCCCTCGTCGCAAGTGCACTCGTTCGGCGCCGTACAGCTTCCAAAACGACACTCTTCTTCGCAAACTGGTTCACAAACGTGAGGATTGGTCGTGTTTGGTCGATAACCATTCTTGCAAGTGCACGTGTACGGCGCGACGCAGTCACCGTTAATGCAAGATGGTTCGCAAGTAGGGATGCAATAAGTGCTGTTCAATGCTTCGTAACCATCATTGCAGTCGCAAGTATAAGGATAACTGCAGTAACTGTTGACGCACCACGGGTAGCAAATAGGTACGCATGTGTCGGGGTTTGTTTTTGATGGCTCGTAGTCGTATTTGCAGGTGCATACGCCCGGCGCGCTGCAAAATTTCCCATCTGGGCACTCCTGCTCGCAGATGGGTTCGCAGATGTGGTGTACATCTTTCTGAAAAACGTTTTCTCTTTCACTTCGGTTATTTTACAATTTAAGTGAATGTGAATGCATATAAAATGAAGACAAGGATTTGTTTTCCAATTTCTGTTCACGTCTTATACTCAGTAGCGTATTTTAAGATAGCATAAGATTATAGGAAAATACATAAAATCTAGAGTCTATGTATTACTCACGTAACCGTCTATGCAAGTACACGTAAATGGTGCAGTGCAATTCGCGAACGGTCCACATAATTCAAAGCAGATAGGTTCACAGACATGTGTCATGGTATCGTCACCATTAAATTCGTAACCCGGGTGGCAAGTGCACTCGCCGGGACCAGTGCAAATTCCATTGATACAAGCCTTCTCGCAAACGGGTTCGCATTTGTACTTCGAATTACTGGACAGTCCGTAACCGTCGTTGCAGCCGCAGACTTCGGGTAGCTCGCAGTATCCGTTCACGCACGGCTCGCTGCAAATCGGCACGCATTTGCCTTGCTGTAGCTCGTATCCAGAATGACAAGTGCACGTGTTGGGTGCCGTGCAAGTTCCGAAATTGCAACCGTTCTCGCATTTCGGCACGCAGTTGAATCTGTCCTCTGGATCTGGTTCGTAGCCCTCTTCGCAAGTGCACACGTCAGGTGCCGTGCAGTTGCCGTTGCCGCAGTTGAAAGAGCAGATCGGATCGCACATCTGACACGAATTAATCAATTTTGCATCGCACATGAATATTATAATAAAAATCGTTTTCATTTTGCTATCATTTTCTTTAACTATAATTGACACAGTGTTTCATCTAACACGAAGCACGCTGATTTAAGGATGTATTGGCTATACAGTCAATCCCAAAAGTTTATGTACCTTAGAAAAACGCATTTCCTATAATTAAAAAGAAATCAGACGTCGGAACAACAATGCTAATAATAAATAGCTACGTGCTAAAATGTATAGAAGGAAAT